TTGTCTACGTTTTTTATATGTTTATTAAACGTATTATTTCCGTATACTTTCCTTATACTAATTATTTATAGGGAATTTCGTTTCAATAATAGAAAACTTTTATTAAAAGCCATAGATAAAGCTTTAGAACAGTACTAACACTCTCACTTCAATATAATTGATGATCATCCAGTTAAAAATTTTGAATCTTCAATCCCATTTACAAACTTAATTCGTAATCCGTTATCAACGTCTGAAATCGACCTTACTGTGCCAAGCATTAGTGACCAATGGAATGATGACGTAATAAGTGTGACCAATACTGTGCCGAATGATCTGCAAAATTCTGAATTTTGATGATTCTTAAGATCCATAGGATTCTGAGGATTCATAGGATTCTTAGGATTTACTGGATTCTTCGGATTATCCTGATTCATTAGATTTTCCTAATTTCCCATATTTCCATTATTTTAATTATTACCATTATTCTTTTTATTTTCATTCTTTTTATTATACTTATTATTATCGTTATAATTATTATCATTATTATATTTACACTTGTAGTTATAAATTTAGTTAGTTTATAACGTAGCAATTAGTTAGCTATAGCAAATTAATTTTGTATAAATAGAGTAACTTTTTGCTCATGTTGTAAAATAACTCTTTTGCGAGTTTTAAAACTCTATTGCGAGTTTCAGTTTTATTACAAATTCAAGTAATAAAGGAATCAACTTTTAAAACAAAAATACTTTTCTCTTCTACATGTCCATTATCTAGGATTTGATCGTGAACCACTACACTAACTTGCGATTAAGTTCATCACTTAGAATAAATAAATTCTCTACATTTTTCCTAAGTCCCTAAACCCTTAAGTTCGTAAATCAAGTGAAGTAATTCCTAGGCACTTCGGATACCTGTAGGATATAAGATTCCCTAAGGTTGTAAAGTCCGATGATAAGGAAGTTACTTACCGCAGTAAAGGAACTTAGACGAATTACGTAAAGTAATCAGAGAAGATTATTCCTGCTAACACTGTAAACAAAGTAAAGAAAACTACTATTCGAAATTGGGACGCTGATCATATGATTATATAGTAAACTAGTCCTAATTAGCCTTTTTTTTAATTGAGCTAGAGCCATCACTTTATACAACACAGGCATCATATTAAATATGCTAATAATAGAATACTATATGCATATTTTTTTTGTATTTTTACGTCATATTGTAAATAAAACTTTAGACTTTTATTTGATATAACACCAGATTCCTACCTATAAATATGACAAGCAAACTTGTAATTTTAACATTTCAAACTTTTATTTTGCGAAAATAATGTATTGTTATGTTTATTTATTAAATTTTTAGGGTTTCTAATACACCATTAACCTGCGCTAAAGCTCATTGAGCTTGTACTTTACAATAGGCTTGTGCATACTGAGTTATCCAATTACTAACTGTAGAAACTTTTGGAATTTCCTCCGCTTCTAAAATTCCTTCTTCTACTAGTTCTTTTAGTTCATTATACATTTTTTGAGCTGTATATTTTCCACTTTTATTAACATCTTCAGCCAAAAAATATGCTTCAAGGTATGGAATCACATGTTTGCTTATTCGCTTTCCCCTCTTTTTTTACCAAATTTCTGCCTTTCTTTCAAAATCCATTTACTCAGTAATAAAAAATCCAAAGTATAAGCTGAAACTTATTTTAAATCTGAATTAGTGCTAGCAGTTTCAGTATTTGATGTGTCTTGGTTCAAAAATGTAAGTTTTGAATAAATGTAATAATTACAATTTATAAGTAAAAAATGCCTATCTTTATTTTGTTCTAATGTTTCTTTATCTAATCTATTTTGTAAAATACCTGCCAATATAACTCTATTATTTACGCCTGTTGTATCAATATCATAATCTTTCAACTTTTGTTTCAATTCTTCAATAGTGAGATGACTTGCGTTGACTTCTATCTCAAAAAATCCAAGTATAAAGATTATTACAATCAATTTCAAATCAATTTACAATTTTACATACTTGATTTGTGAGGTATTAGCGAGCTCCAATCAGAAGTTGGAGTTGAATGATCTGAAACATGAGGACTAGGTTTTTCAAGAGATTGTTTCTCAAATTTTGTTATATTTGCTGACTCAAAATTATTTCATTTTCCAATATTAGGAATTGGACAAGCCCGGATAAATCCTGCATATTCACTTTCTGTTGGCCAGGACCATTCATTCAATTAGAATTTCCAGGTATTAAATTTTTCTTTCGTCCTAGTTCTAAGTTATAGCAGATTTTTTTATATTATTACATCATACTAAATTTATTTTTATATATAAAAAACATACCCTTCTTTCTTTTAGGTTTCAGACATGCTACTAAAGTATCACAGATTCCTTTAATGGCATTCTCTATGTCAACACTATACATGAAGTCGAAATGAAAACCCAAAAGTCAAAATGTTTTGACTTTGGAGGTCAAAGTCAAAATGAAAAGTC